TGTACGTATGTGTGTACGTATGCATGTGCGCGCTTTTGTGTGCGTTCGCGTTAGTCTTTTGTTTGTAAAGAATTCTAGTTGATGTACAAGTGTTATTTTTCTAATGAAAATATATAAGAAAAATATGAAATCCTACAGCAATAAACGTATTTATTTCATGGTATTTTTGTTATATTCCTTTTTCTATCATATTCTTTGTGTTTGGTAAAGGGAGGAGAGAGAATGAATAAAAGAGAATGAAAATGAAGGAGACGAAAAAACACGAAAATAAATGGTAAATAGAAAAAAATACATAGATAAATAGAGACAGATAGACAGACATAGATGTATATAGATGGAAAAATTGAAATATATACATAATGATGGAGAAATAGACAAAAATAGGTAGAGATTGACAAACAGACAGAAACATACATAGACAGACAGAGATAGACAGATAGACATATAGATGGAGTTAACAAATATACAGAAATAGACACAGGTACAAATACAGATAAACAGAAATAAACACAGATAGGCAGACAAAGAGAAATAGACATAGATAGGCAGATAAAGAGAAATAGACATAGATAGAAAAAGGTATAAATGAGAATGAATATCTTCACAATACAAGAGATGTATTTAAACCGGTTTCGAATACATCTCCACCAGAAATACATTAATTTCTGACGAAGATGTATCTGAAACCGCCCAAATACATCTCTTGTATTGTGAAGATATCCATTCTCGTTCACATCTTTTCTACAAAGAACACAATTCACTACACTAAGCTTCGTTCACATCTACTGACGAATCTGATGTCGCGTTTGCTTCAAAATTCTTATGAGAAAATATTAAGAAAGAACAAGAAAGGGAAATATTGAATGAGAAGAAAAAGAAGAAGAAGAAGAAGAAGAAATATATATAACAAAGGGGAATGACAAACAGATATGTGAATATGGTAATGATAATATAATGATAGTAATGATAACAATGATGATGATAATAATAACAATAACAATAACAGCAATATTAATAGTGATGATGATAATAATAATAATCATAACGTTAATGATGATAACAATAAAATGATAGTAAAGATATAACAATGATTATGATAATAGTAGTAGCAGTAATAGTAATGATGACTATAATGAGGAAAACAATGATAATAACGATAATGATGATGATAATAATAATGATAATAGTAATAATAATGGACAATAATAATGATAATGATAATAGTAATAATATAATACCAATAATAATGATAACCATAACAATAATAATAATGATGAGAGTAATGATAATATATTATTAATATCATTGTAATGATAATTACAATAATATTAATAATAACAATAATAATGATAATAACAATGATAATAATAATAGCAATTATAATAATGACTGATAATAATTACATGAATACCATTATTATTATCAATATTATTTTATCATTATCATTATTATTACTGTTGTCATTCTATTTCATTTATTACTACTATCATCATTACTGTATTATCATAATTACCATTATCATTATTACGATCATTATTACTAGCATTATAATTATCATTATTACTATTATCAATATCATCATTGTTATCATCACCATCATTATCATTATCATCATTTTTACCATCACTTATTTTTATTTCTACACTTCCGGTCACTCTCCTCTCTCACCCAGCTGTTCTCTCACTTGGCTACACGTGACGTCACGCTCATAGCAACGGTGTGAAAGAACGTAAATACAACGGCAAAATACAATGGATTTATTGACAATATACACGTTTGTATATTAAGCAAGATAACCGTAAATAGAACGACAAAATACAATGGATTTACTGACAATATACAAGTTTGTATATTAAGCAATATAAACGTAAATACAACTGCAAAATACAATGGATTTATTGACAATTTACACGTAACGCGTATATTAACATATAAACGTAAATACAACGGCAAAATACAATAGATTTATTGACAATATACACGTTTGTATATTAAGCAATATAACCGTAAATACAACAGCAAAATACAATGGATTTATTAACAATATACACGTAACGCATATATTAACAATATAAAACGTAAATACAACGGCAGAATACATTGGATTTATTAACAATATACACGAAACACGTATGTTAACAATATAAACGTAAATACGACAAAATACAATGGATTTATTGACAATTTACACGTAACGCGTATATTAACAATATAAACGTAAATACAACAGCAAAATACAATGGATTTATTAACAATATACGCGCAAAAGCAAATGAGAAAGGAAGAAAGACACGTGGAAGATCATCTATTCTATTTGCTCCCGACGCTTTTCATGAGGAAACAAAACATATCTAACAATCTCTTTTATTTTCGTATTATTCATTTTTCCATGTGTACAAAAAATTCATTTGTTTACGTATTCAATTGTTTATAAATTTAGTGATTGTTAATCGACTTACACAACCACACAACCACACGGCTGACATGTTAGCAAAAATCGTATGACTCTTACTCTATCTTACTCTATCATTGCTGAACACAAAACAACAATGTACAAAGAACAAGGTATTGTACAGCTGTTATACAGATGTCTGTCTTAACACAACCGCTTTGAACTTTTGTCCGGGTCACCTTCAGCTTAGGGGTCACAATTTAATGTTTTTTTTTTGTTGTTTTTCTGTAGGTTGTGGATTTAAGGGCTCAAAATTCCATTTAACACAGCCTTGTCCTTTGGGGAAGGCTAGATCAGTAGTAACTCGAGGTGGCGTCTGATTCTACTTTTGGGGAAAAAAAAAACATGGGTTTATTTTGATGACGTCACAAAAGTTACGGACGCTTTGTGAATATGGTCGATCAATTTTTGTCTTTTCAGTTTTCAAAAGGGATGGAAATTAATGATTTTAATGGTAATATTTTCATTGGACAAGCATCAAAACAGACTTCATGACACTTCCTCGAGTTGCTACTGATCTAGCCTTTCCCCCTGTCTTAGGCATGTAGGCCACCACATTGAGCCGCATTCACAAACAAACCTGACTTCAATCCTCGCTTTCCACAACACAACATGAATAGGAAAACAATAATAAAAGGAAATTAAATCGTAACATTCTAATATAACAGGTTGTGCATTTATGGGCCCAAAATACATTTAATACAGCCATTTCCCACGTATGTAGGCCGCCACACTGCCCCGCCTTCACAAACAAACCTGAGTCCACGACAACACGTCTACAACATGAATAAAAAAAAAATAACCATAATAAGTAAAGGAAATTAAATCGTGACATTCTAGTGTAACAGGTTGTACAGTTATGGGCCCAAAATACATTTAACACAGGCCGCCACACTGACCCGCCTTCACAAACAAACCTAACTTCACTCCTCGCTTTCCACAACACAACATGAAATAGAAAAAAAACAACCACAATAAGAAAAAGGAAATTAAATCCTAACATTTCTAACTAGTCCGTGGTTTCTAATCAGACGAATACAACAACTGTGCAGCAATTTCACAGATGTTCCCCCCCCCCACACGTCGGTTTCCGTTAGCCAGCAAACTCATATTCCAACTTTTTTGAATCAGTTGAGTGACCAATAGGCGTCTGGCTCTGGTCGGTCAATACATGGGCAGCCAATCACAGACAGGCATCTATGTACGTAATTGACATTACTGTGAGTTCCCTAGTTCCTAATTAGAATTATCAAAATTGTCATTATTACCATAGACGGCAAAAATAATGATAATGATGGTGATGATGATGACAATGATATTATTGATAATTATAATAATGATAATGATATTTGAAAGAATAATAAGAAAAGTGATGATACTAATAAATAATAATAATGATGATGGTAATAATGATAATAGTAACAATGATAGTGATGATAGTGATAATGATAATAACAGTATAATAGGAAAGATAATAATAACAATGACATTAATTGATGATAATGATAATAACAACAATGGTAATGATGATAATAATGATATTGATAATAATGATAACAAAAAATTATAATAATGATAATAATAATAATGATAATAATAATGGTATAATAATAATGATAATAATAATAACACTAGCAATAATAATACTAAAAATGATAAGTATGGTAATAATGATAATAATAATAATAACAACTATGGTGATGACGCGGATGATAATGAAAATACTTACATTAAAATTCTAATTCTAATAATAATAATAATAATGATGATAATAATAATAATAATAGTAATAATAATAATAATAATGATAATAATAATAATAATATGATAATAATAATAATAATAATAATAATAATAATAATAATAATAATAATAATAATAATAATAATAATAATAATAATAATGATAATGATAATAATAATAATAATAATAACAATAATAATAACTAGAAGCACTTAGAGAGCACATACCTTTGTCAAGACAAATTGATAATGATAATTCAAGCACCAAAAAGTTGTCCCCATATCTAAATACTGATAATAATAATAGTTACCCCTACCGCCTTGGTATCAGGGGTAACTGATGTAATTATTTAAAAATTCATCGATTTTGATCCTGGTCACCACCAAAATTTAATGGCAGTTGTGATGTTCATAACTTTTTGAGTTATCCTGCTAACCAACAAACAAAGTAACCAGTGGTAATATAAACATTACTTTGGCGGAGGTAAAAATAATAACAATAACGATAATGATGATGATAATGATAACATGTATGATAATAAGAATGTCAATGATAATGATAATTTCTATATAATAATGTTGGTGATAATGAGGATATCTATGATTATAATAACGTTAATGAAACTGATAACAACGGTAATAATAACATACCAAGAAATTGTCTCAAATGTAAATAGAAAAAAAATAAAGGAATAAATAAATAATCAAGGGAAACCGGGCCAAACACCCAACAGAATTCCTGTGCAGAAGCGACGCTAGAGATTTACGACACAAACATTACACATTTAGTCCACGAAATACCACTTTACGGAGTCTTGTTGTTATTTTTGTTGACTGAATGGCCTGAGGTGGATGGAAGGAACGCCGGAGAGGAGGAGAAAGGGGAAAGAAAGGGAGAAGAAGAGGAGAAGAGGTGAGATTAGAGAAAAAAATAGGTTTAGGGAGGGTATACAAGAGCCAGATTTAGGACTCGGATTGTGTTTGTTTACTTTGGTGTTGTTTGTCATTAATGGCTTTGGTAATGAGGGTAATTAGAGACTGATGCTGGTGATAACTGTAATGATGATATTAATAAGAATAGTAAGAGTGATCATGGTAATCACCACTTCATTCTTAGGTTGTATACAGAATTTTCTCATTTATTTTTTATTATTATTATTATTATTATTATTATTATTATATTATATTATTATTATTATTATTATTATATTATTATTATTATTATTATTATTATTATTATTATTGTTATTGTTATTGTTATTGTTATTGTTATTGTTATTGTTATTGTTATTATTGTTATTGTTATTGTTATTATGTTTTTTATTATTATTATTATTATTATTATTATTATTATTATATTATTATAATTATTATTATTATGTATAAGTTACTGAGAGCAACGCTTGGAGATAGAGGGAAATGGACATCGCCATATTATAGAGCGTAAGAAATAGAGTTGGAAACGCAGTTTATGCTGCAGCGACCTCTTATTTACTGTGAAAGGACGAACATATTTGAAGCATATGACCGCTCAAAGACGAAGTCCATATGTTGGAATGAAGTGCTAATAAAGTGGTGGTTACAGGGGGGCTTGCTTCCCTGCCTAGGAAATAAATAGAAGGTAGGAATGGTTAGGTTGGGTGTTTGGGTTCGCATGATACTTTGGTTTTGGGACTTTGTCTCTGGAGGGAGTGTCACACCCAAGAATAATTCCCTTATTATTATTGTTGTTGTTCTTGTCATTTTTATGTTGTTTTTTAACATTTTGTCAGTGATAATTTTCTTTCTTTTCTTCTATTCTCTCTGATCTTAATTTTAGAATTACAGTTGCAGTTTTTTTGCAAACTAGTGTACAGCTAGTCCAGACTGTAAATTTTTTCAATGCGTAGGGAATCCTGGTTTTAATGTAAAAAATATGCATGTAAAAATAATTTTTCACAAAATATTTGTTAGTGGATTTTCAGCACATGGCAAAGACCTCCATTGTGCGCAGAAGTGAAAAGCTCGAGCCTTCATAAGATACACACAGGTAAGCCAGTGAACTGCTAGAGAAATCTATGTGGAAATAAGCTATAAAAAGAATAGATAGAAAACAAGTCAGAAATTGTTGCACGGGGAATGTGTTCCAAAGGCAGACCAAACTTTACAGTCTGGTGGCTTGTGATTGTCTCTGACTAGCCTCGGGGTATTTTTATTGGGTCTAGAGAAGAAGTCAGGGCTCATCTGTGTGGTGAATTTTGTTGTTTTATTTCCATAAACTTTTTTGTTGGATTTCTTTTACATTTTACTTTATTTGTTTTTGCCTCATTTATTTATTTTTATTTTTTTATTTTTTTCATTTTATTCCATGCACCTGGAGGAGTTCCTTAATCCTATGATGATGGTTCTACCTCGCTATAGGCTTTGCATACTATCAGTTGTGGGAGTGAGAAATTAGTAGCATGGGAGAGATATATTTTCCCCAAACTAGAAACTGGCTGCACACTTTTCTGTTTTCACCCTGCAGTTCTCCCTTTCTTATTTGTTGGTCACAGAATGTCGTGGAAGTGCCTGTTTACTAAGCAGCTTGGATTGGCTCAAGCTTGCCAGAATGGTAACTTTGCAAAATTCGCATTGGTGATTGTTTTTGTGAATGGTAAATATGTTTGGGAATGCTCATTTGAAACTTTGTAAGGTGTTGTGGCAAAACGACAGGAACTTCTACCACTATTCTAATATTTCGCAATTTCATACCAACTAAGGAATAGTCAGTTAAGGAATTTTATTGCTTCTTCATTCCCTTTCTTAACAAATGAATGCATTCCCTATCTTATAAATGACTCCATGTGTAGGAAAGATGTGTACATGATATAGAGGCTGCGCGCACCAAAGAAATTCCATGTGCGAAGCAGAGTCTGGCAAGTGTGACTCACTATGAGCTGAATGTCTGGGAACTGCCCTATACCATACTAAGCCTATTATGGAGGACTGTATCTCCTCAGCGACCTAGTCAGGGTAAACATGTGAACAGCTGTTTAGTACCTTACACCACAGAGCAAATATTTATGATTGGTTTCCTGCATATGGGCTCTGTGCATCTTGGCAAGAATAGGAGGCCACCCGATGTGAATGGATTAATTTGATACCTTTTTGGTAATTCCTCAGAAAAGTTCTGTATTGCATTTACTAGCAAATTTAGTGTCAGTTTAGAGTTTAGCTGACGACACCAGCTACTCAGATATAGTTATGTTAGTCAAGAGGATCTAACTATAGCAATCTATTACAACTAGTGTTGGATAGGGTAAAAAGTATACCCAGAAATTATAC